CTCCAGTAGCAGATAGTGACTATTTTGTCATAATAATGGGAAATAAATGTTGACTGGGAAGGATGTATGCCAAGTGTTTTTCAATCTACATCTAGGTGAAGTAGAAGTGGCAATCATTTTACTAAAGTTACTATTTCATTTATTCTTAATATGAATGCTATGTGGGTACTGACACATGTTTCTTTAGAATCTGGTCATGTCTGGTACTGTTCACTGTAGTAACAAACATGAGATGGCAATTTTGCTCCTATACATCGAAGAAACAAAACGTAGTATCCCTGTTAATGTAAGTCTGCACCTTCCTTGGGAAAGAAAGGAAGCATTTGAGATAGAAATTGCAATTAATTTTTTTGATGATTAACTTTATCACTAATTGCTTTTATTAGGCTAAATCCTAAAAAATCAAATACTTCTGAGGTTGGTGGTTGTAAATGAATAAAGTATAATCTCTTTCTCCCGTTATGAACACCACAAGGGACACATGGATCTAATACCTTCAGGAGTCACTTTGGCTTTCTTTTAAAGTTGACAATGCCGTGCTTCTTTTTTTCTCTTTCGATTTTTAACTTCTAATATCCAGCAGGTAGAATAAAGCAATGTCTTGCTACCCTTAGCGTTTGCAAAGCACCAAACAAATCCTAAGTGTGGTTTGGGGGCAATTTTAAAGCATGCTGTAGAAAATGTTATTCTATTGTGTGTGTGTTTTCAATGACACAGCCCCAAGTGCAGTTGCATTTATGAACCACAGTAGAGGCTCAAATGCAGTAACAGTTAGTTGGCCTCCGGCTAGAACTCTTCTTGATGGATTCAACATTTCAATATCCAGTGGAAGCAGAAGGCGGGAAGAGCTTCTGCCTTCCAATAAAAGGTAAGGAAATCCTGAAACAAACTTCGGCCGGGTTTCATGGAGCAAAAGATTTATGTTATATATATGTATATGTTTAGAAATGTATATATGTTTAGAATATTATGTTAGAGGACTAAAATAACCAGAAATCAGATATGTTTGCAAGTCTACTTTTTGTACTACAATATGATCAAAATAATTAAGTCTCATGTAGAGTAAACATCATTTTTTCTTTAAATAAATAATAAATTGGTAAAGAATATTTTCATATTGTGATGGCTATTCGTATTGGAGCTAATGTTTTAACATGTGATTTTTCTTTAATATTTAGGGAATTCACATTTAATAACCTTTCTCCGGGAACTGACTTTTTAATTAGCATTATGGCAACCAAAGGAATAAAGAGAAGCCGTCCTACTGTCCTCTTGGTTAGCACTTGTAAGTTCATTTTATGTTTAATTAACTTTTCAGAGATAAGAATAAGGGAAATTGTGTTGTGTTCAAAGCCATATCTAATTAAAATGAATGGATGAATATGGAAGCAGTGTACGATGGTGTCGAGGAGAAGGAACACTGCATTTACAAGGAGAACATCTGAGTTATAATCCTGCCACTATCACTTATTTATACACCTTGGACTATTAAGTTCTCCCTTAAGAAAATGAGTATACTCCTTGCCAAGGGAGCAAAGGTTTGGTACTAATGTAAAATATAAAGCTCTGGAGAAAAGGCAAAATATCTAAAACCCTAAGGTTTTGTCATAAAATACTTGATTAATTGCTAATATTTGGACTCTACCTATTAACCTTTTATGGTTAAAAATGAAACAAAACAAAACCTTGGGCTAAGAATAAAATAGATGACAGTGTCTTTGCAATGGTATGATTTGCTTTTCTGCCCTTCCAAGTTCTAGAGCTCTGCAGATGTTCCAAAGAACCTTGTAGACACAATCTCATGACTGGGTACTTAGCAGCCGGCATCAAATTCTCCTTGCCACTTGCTCCAGTTTCCCAGGGCCATCCCTCCACCTCAGTCCAATGCGGTCTTCATAGTCCCTCTCATATCCCACCTCTCTCCCCCCGCCCCACCTTCCTAGTGCTTCTTCTCCCCCACAGGTCTCCCTAGGGTGTGTTTCTTTGTTTGTTGTTTGAATTCTCCCTTTCATCCATTACTCCAATTGGTCTGGAAAATAAGAATTAAGGAGTCCATTGCACCTGAATGAACTCTCATAGGCAAGCGGAGATGAGGAAGAAGAAACGAGTCTGTGTACATAACTGCAGTGTTAATATTTCCCCCCATCAACTACACACCATTTGCTCATCAGTCTCTTGGTAATGTCTCAGTCTTAAAATGCCAGTCATCTAACTTGGGTAAAAAAAACTAACCGAATTAACTCAGAATTAAAATGAGTGTTCAAGAATGATTAATTGCTGAGTACTCAGACTTTTGCCCCAAATTAACTGCCTATCAAGCCTCATCATTGGAAAGTCTGGCACTAGAACTATCAAAGTTGGGCATCCTGTTGCTCTATAGTACTGCATTATTGCACCAAACTCCTGGATTATAGGTGTTTGCTGCATTACATCAATATGCCCTTGAATTTATGTCTAAATATGCATCCTTGGCAATTGTACAAAATAGTCTCTTGGTTAATGCACGTGGCTGCTAACTGAAAGATTGGTGGTTCAAGTCTTCCCAGAGGCACTCTGGAAGAAAGACCCGGTGCTCCACTTCTGAGAAGTCATCTACGGAAAACTGTACGGAGTAAGGTTCTTCTCTGACACGTGTGTTAACACACGAATTGGCATCTGATCCCTTCAAAAATGGAATCTTACACTTACTTCTGTCGAGTAGATGCAACTCATATTGACACTATAGCGCAGAGTAGGCTTGCCTCTGAGTTTCTGAGACTGTAATTCTTTAATTTTCCCCTTTTTACAACAGTTTTATTGCCATATAATTCACATAGCATACAATCCAATAGTCCAATCACACCAAGAAGAGTTGTACAATCATCATCCCAATCCGTTTTACAATGTTTCTTTTCAATCTTGTATTCCTTATGAGAGCAGGCAGCTTCATCTTCTGTGGTGCAGCTGCTGGATGTGAACCTCTGGCCTTGTCTTTAGCATCTCAGGGCATAGACTGTTGGGCTACCAGGGCTCCTTTTTGGTCCTAGCATCTCAAAAAAGAGCATAATACAAATTTCCTTTTGAGCACAAGATCAGATAAGATTTTCTTTATAAAGATAACTCAATATTATTTTTTCCTCTTGCTAGGTCTTTTTCCCTTTACCATTAAACTTCTCATAACTAAAATGTATGTCTTGTTGTCATGTAAGTATCTCTTTTTTTCTCCCCTAATAAAACTTACTGGTTTCATTTTTGGCACACCTAGTCATTTTGAAATTTGACTTTTGTCTCTTAGCTATATTAATGATATGTTTTATAATGTCTTTCATACCTTTCTTTCTTTGCATGCCACTTCAGATTGATTTGGAAGTAGATGGGATATTAAATGTAAAATACAGAGGATGTAAAAATATAGAGGTAAATATATGATGAAAATGTGAAGGCAGCAAATCACTTCCAATTGGAAAGGGTATGCATGACTAAACTAGAATAAAAAGTGAGAATCAGTGACTTAAATTCAAATCTCTCTCTTTTATATTCTATTGAGTTACAGGGGAAAGTCTGCATAGGAAATTAGTTTTACAATCAATAGTTCATACACATCTTGTTCCATGACCTTGGTTGCATGCCTGCAATGTCTTAGCAGCACTCACCCTATTTCCTGGTGGCTTCCCCATTTCTGTTTCATCTGTTTTCCCTGTCCTTCCTGTATCCTCATCTTTGGTTTTAGACAAATGCTGCTATTTGCCTATTTCAAGCCAGTAAGTCTGATTTTTTTTTTTTTTAGTTTTTGTCCCATATTTTAACTGGAAGCTTCTAATTTGGTCTTGGTCAAAATGGTTGGTAGTGTGGCTGGGCACCATCTAGCTCTTTTGGTTTCAGATTTGAGGAGGCTGTGGTTCGTGCTGCCATTAGTCCTGTGGATTAATGGCGTCATTGAATCTGATTTTCTTTCTTCTCCTTGGCATTCGGAGAGAAGAGATCAATAATGGTTGCTTCTTAGATGGCCATTCACAAGCTTTTAACTCCAGACCCTACCCACCAGACTAGAATGTAGAGCATTTTCTTTATGAAGTATGTTGTTCCAATGGACCTAGATGTCTCTAGAAACTGTGATCCTTGGTCTTCTAAGCAATGACTAAATCTAGTGTCTAAGTAGGTTCTACAATGTGGTACCCTTTGAGGTCTATCACAGATACATTCATACATCATTTGCCATAACAATATACATATGCAAGCCTGCTTTAGAAAAATCTCCACCACCTATTTAGCACATATCTACCTCACACATGATTCTTAGCTACTTACTCTTATTACTACAGTTGCAGGGCTGTGTATGTTACCCCATTTACTGTAGTCATTGCTTATTCATTCATACACTCATTGTCTTCCTTTGTCTTTGTCTCCTAACTTCCTCCATGGTGTGCACTTCCTTTCCCGTCACCAAAATTAACTCTAGTCTACTTCCTAGTTAGTAATTCTTCTTCCTGATGAAAAGCTTGTTGCTTTCTGTTATATTTTATTTATTTTCATCATTGCTCTTATTAGTGGGGTGAGATGATATTTCACTGATTTATACTTTTCTAATGGATAATAACCAAGAGTATATTTTTATGTGTTTTTAGTTGCCTGCATGGCTTTTTTTGGTGAAGTGTTGGATCATGACTTTTGTCCACTTCTTAACTGGACTGTTTACCTCTTTTTGAGGTGTTGGGGTTTTCTGTATATTTGAGAATTAGATACTTGTCATATATTTTATTGAGAAAATTTTCTCCCAGTATGTAGTTTTTCTTTTATCCTTTTAGGAAAGTTTTTGGTGGGCATAGTATTTGCATTTTTCAAGGTCAATTTTATATATTACATATTTTTCTATTTATAAATTAATTGTGATGAATGATAGTTTGTTTGTGCCATAATTAGGTCCCCTAGTTTTGTTCCAATGTAATTTTCTAGGACCTTTATAGTTTTAGATTTAACATTAAAGTTTACATCCATTTTGTGTTAGTTATTGCTTATAGTGTGAAGTAGGGCTCTCTTTCTTTTTTCCTTATTTCATTCTCTTGCAAATGTACTCATATATCCAGTTTTTCCAGCATCATTTCTGCAATGCATGGCATGGTATCTGAATTATAATAACTTTATTCTGAAGCCCATTGTATGGTAAATAAATGTACAGTTCCCCGGACTACATGATTTTGCTCATGGAAGAGATTTTCTAAAAAGTAGGTTATTTTCCCCCTTTTATTGTACTAATGAAGAGACTGAAACAGGATAAAGAGCTTACAGAAGTTTTACATATGTTCAAACTGACCAGAGAAACCTAAGTATTTTACCTCTTGATTTAGTACTCAGATAATGTGAAAGCCAAAATTGTCACTCTAGTGAAGATAATATAAGAGTAAAAATGTCTTTTTTGTTGTTAAAATGATTGTCATTCCTGTGTCTTATTGAATTGCTGTAGTTCCAGACCCACCTTCAGACTTGCTGATTTTGGGGCAGGAAGAGAACAGCATATACCTGTCTTGGAAATCACCACAAGGAGGCTTTGAAAAGTTCCAGGTAAAAAGCTGGTAGCCTTCATACAGTCTGGATGTTGAAATTCTTATTGCATGATTTCTTTTTGTCTTTCATTTTACATGAATAAATTTATACATTGTTATACTAGCCCGTTACTATAAGATACTCCTCAAACTTTTAATTAGCTAATTTATATATTTATATGTACAGTTGTTTAAATAAGATCAAATGATGATCCCTAGTCTTGAAGAAGTAGATAGTGTGTCTTCAGGGGAGATGAGCATGCATGTATATAACACACAGATAGAAATAAAGATCAATATGACTAGAGGAAGATAGTTCTCTGACCTCACTGGCTGGTACAGGTGTTCCTGAAATTAAAGCCACGTGATGTGATATAGGTTTCCTTTAAATCCCACCCAAGTGCTCTAGCTGTTAAATGAAAACACATTCATCATCAAAAAGAACACTCAAGATCTACCTTGACATATGATGTGGTCTGTTGCATGAAATATCTATATGTTTACAAATAAAATCCAGCTAATAAATTCATTTTTCAAAGATACACACTAACTGCTAAAGCTAGTGATGAAAAGATGGAAGAATTTTACCAATTTCTTCAGCATTCAGTTAATCAAATATGCAATCAAAATGCATTGGTAATTGATGATTGGAATGCAAATGTTGGAAACAAAGAGTGTGTTTCTAAAATGTGGCCTTGGTGACAGCAATGAAGCCAGAGATTTCCTGATAGAGTTTCACAAGACCCATGAGATTTTCATTGCCAATACTTCTTTGAAACAAGATAAGCAGCTACTATACATTTGGAGTTGGAATACACAAGAACAAAATTTACTGTATTTGTCGAAAGAGAAAATGGAGAAGGTCAATATCACCAACCAAAAGAAGGACAGGGGTCTCCTATGGAAGAGAATTTCAATCGCTTATATGTAAGCGTGGAAGATAAAGAAATGAAAGCAAATCCATAAGAACTAAAATTGACGCTGACTTTTGAGAACATCTTAAGAATAGATTTGTTCTTTGAGCCTTCGTTGCAGCAGACTTGAAGAGCTATTGGATGACATCAGGCACCTCCTATGTGACGAGAGCAAAGGGTCATTAAAGAGAAAACAAATGACCAAAATAGATGCCAGAATAGACTCTGACTCTTGCACTTTAATGTGGAGTAGCCAAAGCCTATTGAAGAATGGATTAAGTGAAAGAATTTAAAAGCAAATTTCAAAGGGCACGTTGGGAAGGCAAAGTAGTTGATTTTAATGAAAGGTGCAAAGACCTAGAGTGAGGAAGCCAAAGAGCTGAAAGAACTGGAGGACAAAAATAAGTTGCAACATTAATGGTTTCCATGGGAAAAAAGTCTAAGTGATGCAGGAAGCACCGAATAAGATAGCAGAAATACAGGGTTGTCTTACAAAAAAGCTTTCGTTGACATCGAACCATTTAAAGAGGGACATATGATCAAGAACCGATGGTATTGAAGGTAGAATTCCCCCAAACAAGTCTCCTGGAATTGACAGAATACTGATTGAAATATTTCAACTAACTGATGAAGCACTGGAAGCACTTATTTTTTTCTATGCCAAGAAATTTGGAAGATAGCTATTTGGTTAGGTGATTGAAAGAGATCCATATTTGTGCCCATTAGAAAGAAAAGTGACTCAACAGAAGGTAGCCATTATTGAGCATATCATTAATATAAGATGCAAATCAAATGTTAAATTTTAAGATAACTTTAAAATAGTTACAGTAGTACATCAACAGAGATATGCCAGAAATTCAAGATGGATTTAGAAAAGGATGTGGCACGAGAATATCACAGCTGATATCAAATGGACCTTAACTCCAAGAATACCATGAAGATGTTTACTTGTGTTGTATTGACTATACAAAGGAATTCAACTATGTGGACCATAACAAACTGTGGATATCTTTGAGAAGATGGGTGTGGTAGTTACATAATATCGTGCCAACTTGAGGATATTAAGGGTGAAGGGGTGGAGTCTACCCTTTCAATCAAGTGATGATGACAAAGAGACCGATGGCATCTTGTAGGTGTGGCCTTTTATGAGGATTCTGGGAACTTCCTCTCTTTCTCCCAGGAGGTGGGCCACACTCTCTCTCACCTTACTGTTGACAAGCCACATGGAGCCATGATGGTGGCAGCCAGAGCCCAGGAGATGCATCCACTGCCATTGGATCCACAGGACTTACCACCCACCAGCCTGTAATCTTCCTGCATTCGGCATCATTGCATGGCTGCATGAGTCTAAAGAAGAATTTATGCACTAGTATCAGACATAGGGGCTAATATTGGACTTACAGACTTGATCTGGACTGGGCTGGGATGTTTTCTCAATATACAATTGCTCTTTGATATAAATCTCTCTCAAATACATATGAGTATCTCTGGATTTGTTTCTTTAGTCTACCCAGTCTAAAACAATGGGGAATTCCAGACCACTTTATTGTGCTTATTCGGAACCTGTACATAGACCAAGAAGTTGTTCAATCAGAACAGTAGAATAAAGTCAGTTAAGGTTTTTAATCAGGGTATTTAGGATGCTTATTCAATTTATATGCTGAGAAAATAAGAGAGATGCTGGGTTATATTAAACAGAGTATGACAAAAAGATTGGAGGAAGGCATATTGACATTTGATGTGTGATTGACATAACCTGGCTCTATTACATTGGAAAGTGAGGACGGCGTGAAATGCTTCATGATGCAGTGTGTTTTGCATCTCAATGTAAAGAAAACCAAAATCCTCACAACTGGACCACTAGATAATTTCACAGTAAATGGAGAAAAGGTTAGAGTGGTTAAGGGCTTAATTTTGCATCCACAACAGTGCCTATGGAAGTAACAGTCAAGAAAGTGTATAATACACTGAACTGGACAAATCTGCCACACAAATCTCTTTAAAATGTTGAAAAGCAAAGAAGTCCCTTTGAGGACTAAGGCATGGCTAATGCATGCCATGGGATTTTTGATCGTCTCATTTGAAAGTTGAACAATGAATGAGGAAGACTGCAGAAGTTGGACTTGTTGGACGTTGGAAGATTGCATGTGAAAGTTGGACAGTTAATGAAGAAAACTGTGATCCCAATGATCTACCTGTAACCCTCTCCCAGGGAGATGGACAACAGAAAAGTGGGTAAAGGGAGACATTGGTCAGTGCAAGACATGAAAAAAATAATAATAATTTATAAATTATCAAAGGGGTATGAGGGAGAGAGGATGGGGAAAAATGAGGAGCTGATACCAAGGGCTCAAGTAGAAAGAAAATGCTTTGAAAATGATGATGGCAGCCAATCAAAAAATGTTCTTGACACAATGGATGGATGGATAGATTGTGATGAGTTATGTGAGCCCTCAATAAAATTATTTATTAAAAAAAAAACTGAAGAAGAATCAGTGCATTTAAATTATAGTGTTGGAAAAAAAATATTGAAAGTCCCACAGACTTCCCAAAGAACAAACAAAGCTGTCTTGGAAGAAGTACAGCCAGGATGCTCCTTACAGGCAAGGATGACTAGACTTCATCGCACACACAGTGATACCTCCCTTTTCAAACTCAGTTCATTCTAAATTCATGTTCAAGCACCAAAAGCTTTGAGAACTGAACATATTTTTCCCCATAAGAAATAGCAGAAAGCCAAAAATTGGTTCTGAGGCCCCCAAATTACACTTATCGATTCATTTTTCCAGGACTTTAAACAACTATGGCTTTTAAGCCTTCTCAGATACTGCTGTCTCAGATAGGCTATCGCCATCAAGTTGTTTCTGGTTTACCCAAATCAGCAGTAACTTCTCAACCTGTTTTATGGTCTGGAGTCTTTGTTCATGGTTAGCAATTTCACACCTTTTACTACATTAGCCACTTGAACCATAGTTTTGCCCCAAATGTTGATGATGTCTTATTAGCCATGTTGTTTATATTCAGCCACCAAATCAGAAAAGCAGCGACTTGATTCAAATTTCGCAATGGTTTCTTTCTTTGTCCATCAAGATTCTCACTGCTGTCTTTTGAGCTTTAGTGCTGGTGTCGCTACCTTTCCTGAGAGCAATGGTCATGATCGTTTACTCAAAGTGCAAAAAAAAGCACATTGACAAATATTTTAAAGCACTAACGCAAGCATTATGTGTTGTCTTGAATGAGATCGGCACTTGGACTGAAGCGTCACCCTTTTGTATCCACGTGGGGACTCGACTCATGACTCACACTTGGCCTGGACAGGTGTTTTCAAGTCAGATTTTCATTCCAACTAGTGAGCAAAGTTATGAACACGGAGCAGATCCCCCCCACCCCCGCCCCACCGACTTTGCTGTTTGCTTAGTAGATAGTTCGAGCTTGGAGCCCTTTGACAACTGAGGTATCACTGTACTTTCTGCTCTCAGAAGAATTGGAGAAGGACATCACACTTGGTAAAGTAGAGGGGCAGCAAAAAAAAGAAAAAAAGGAAGGCCCTGGGCAACACGAATTGACAAAGTGGCTCCAACCATGAACACAATCGTAACAACACCCACAAGCCCTCTTGCTTGAGAATTTCAATATTTTCAACTGTGCATTCCATTAAACTTTACCTTTCATATGACAGACTAGAACTGCCCCTAGAGAGCTTTTTAGGCTATAATATTTATGGGAGCAGATTCCTAGGTTCCTTTCTTGTGGAAACCCTTGTAATAAACAGAATGGGGGGGCGGGGTTCTGTGTGTGACATCCTCTGACTTTCGTATTGCCTCGAGGCAGGAATCAGGCAGGCCTTCACTCTCCATCCTTCTTTCCCCTATTCTGACGCCAATCCTTCCTCCCCTGACACTCTAGTCCACGCTGGGTTTGAGAATTCATTGCAACAGCCCCACAGAAGGCACAGATAATACTCACGATTAAGGGCCTTTGTTTCCCACTCACTCCCTACCTTTGGGTCCATTCTGACACACAGTGACCCTGTAGGACAGGGCAGAACTGTCCTCTCGGGGTTTCCAAAATTGTAACTCTTTCCTAGAGTAGAAAGCCCTGTCTT